TCTACAGATAATAAAAGTGGTGATGGAGAACAAATGCCTGAAGGAAGTTAGGTATGCCTTGTGACATTGCAGAACTCTGGAACAAATAGTTATTGCCTCCTAAACAACACAGATGAGTAAGGACAGGCACATCTTCATTATTACACTTTGTCTTTCAAAAAATCCATAGTTTTGTACATGTTTATGAGTGGTTCACCCTTTATTATTGAGTTGCAAGAGATATACTCTAGATACAAGTCTTTTGAAAGACTTACTTATTGCAAATATGTCCTATCTGCTTTGTGTGTGTGTGTGTGTTCTTCATGTCTCTTTTAAGGAACATGCATTTTCAACATTATTTATTTTATTTATATTTTTTGAGAATTTTGTACACAAATACACTGTATTTATATCATTTTCATTAGTCTTTCAACATTCCCACCCCACCTTAATAACCTACTTCCTTTAAGATTCGCCTTGAACACTTTTGAGACCTCTAGTTTTATAAATTAGGCTTAATTTGTGTTAGGGCTATACACACACACACACACACACACACACACACACACACACACACACACACTTAAAATCTTTATAGATTCCAAGTTATCCTAGGAAAGCATTCTCCTTTATTGTCTCCTTGATTATTTATAGTTTAAGGTTTCATGTTAAGTAAGTAACTGAACTCAAGAAAACTTTTGTGCGTTATACAAAGTAGTATTCCTCCATTAAATACATTTGTTGTTTTCTCTAGTGTTATTGCTGAGTGAAGTTTCCTCTTCTGTAGGAACTGTCCTGGATCTTTCCCTGAATTCTATTTCCTTCCATCCATTTATTTTTATGTCAGTGTACACTGTCTTGCTTAGTCACCTTTATAGTAATTTTGTTCCTTGACAATTTCACATGTCCTACAGTACCTCCTTTCTGTCCCTATCCCTATCAAACCCATCCTCCAACTCTACATGCTTGTGACTTTTGGTTTTACTAGGCCATATACTTGACCAAAAGATTGGAACTGTCCATCGAAGCTGGATGGAGTCACTTGTGGGTATGAAGGCCTGATTCCCCTCTCCATGAGTCTGTAAACAGGTCGTACCACAGACAGTGGCTTTAGATCACGTAGCTGTGGTTTTTACATGTGTTTGTATGGAAGTTGAAGGTGTAGTAGTGAAAGGTGGAGTTATGGTCTTCTACATTCTTTGCCTGATGGCTCCATCTTTGCTGCTCTGGGTTCTTATGTCACCTCTCATTGGCTCTCTCCTCTCATCTCACTTTTTCCCTTACAAGGGCCTTTGTGAGTATGTGGCACTCACTCCAGTAAACCTGGGCAATTGTCCTTCCTTCCCATCCTTTGTTTACTCATGTTGGAAAATGTGCTTTTGCTGTGTATGGGTTTCATAGTTTTGATCAATTAGAACATGGGTATCATTTGGTGATGGTGGCATGGGCGTTGCTCTGTACACTGCAGTGGTTTTCCTTATATTCAGTCTGTTTTAGTTTCATTGATTCTCATGAAACTGAAGGTTGACTTTTGTTCATGTACTGTCTGCACTATCATTCTTTCCTATGGTTTCAGTTAAAGAGTTTGCTAATTACTGTCTCACAGACAGTGGGATAATGTGGAACATTCCTGTCTGTGTTGCTGAGATCAGTAATATCTATCGATCTCTTTCCATCTTCTGTGACCCATGTCTTCCTGCAGGATCCAATTTGCTACTAAGCTTTCCTGTGAGATAATTTCATTATTTCCTTCTGTATGGATCACAGTTTCTTCTTTGTATATCAAGTTCCATTGATTATCTACTGAGTAGATAATTTATTGAATGTAATCTAAATTCTGTTTTATTGTTATCCAGTACATATTGTTTTAACATTACCTTTTTGAATTCTTCCTTTACAAGACACAAAACATGTCTAATATAAATGGTGAATACTAACAGTTGAGAGTTCAAAAATGTCCGTAGGATGTGTTTCTTTCCAGATTTATACAAATCTGGTGTGTCCCATTTCTCAGGATCTATTGTTGATTCTGTCACTATTTTAGCTTTCAGGATATTACAGATTTTAGAGTAACAATTATTTCTTCAAGTAACTCTAAAGCATAGAGATTTTTCTCTAAATTGTGCCATATATCCTCAGGTTAATGTCTCTCTAAAGGCTGTGAAGTCAAGTGGGCATTTTTCTTCCTCTTTGTTCTGTTAGGACCTTAGTCACAACCCGTTAGTACTGCTTAGAATCTATGTCTATTGAACAAAGGTGAAAAGGGACACATGCATGCAAATACTCCGAATGAGAAAGAGTATTTAGATTTTTCTAAGTCTTTATCCTGTCATTAAAAGGGGATTTGCAAACACAAGATAAGTAAAATTATTAGTGAGTTTTAAATCTTGTATGCATTAGCTAGAAGGAGAATTTTCAGATCAACTCCCTGCCTTTCTTAATTGTCCCACTTTACCTTGACAGTGACTGGACATTAATACCATGGCAGATGGAGAGAAAGAAAGAGGGATAATTCTAGATGGGGGGAGGTTGTATTTGAGAACATGGTATCCTTGAATTATAGACACAACCTAGAATCATAAAATACTAGCACTGAAAGAGATCATAACAATAAACCCAAATCAGTTCCCATCTGAGGAAAGGGATGTGGGATTAGTTCCTCTGTAAGTATTTAATTATATGGACACTCATTGGGGAATTATTCTTGCTTACTTTGCTACTACAGCATCTAGTATAGTGGGACTTTCCAGCATGCTGGTGTTCAGTTTAATTCTTGATGAAATGGGGGGAAAGCAAGAAAACTTAACGACATAGCTCTGTGGAAAGAGAATGGTTGCCAAAGCTTGAGTGGGAGGTTGTGAACTAACAGGTCATGGTGCTACTACTAGTCATCTAGGTAGAACTTCTTCCTTCTTGACTCGCATAGTGTGTCGGAGAGGGAGGAACCCATATGGGCTAGTTTCACTAAGGCTATCAAAGCACCGAAGGTTAGTTAGGGAATGTTAGAAGAACAGAAAAGAAGACAGTCTGTAGATTACCTGCTCATGAGTCACCAGCCACACAGTCTGTGTCACTTCCGGTGCTACAAAGAGAGTGGGATTAGACGGTGCTATTAGTGCTAAGGAGCCCAGGTAATCATTAGAACTTTGGAGACATGGCATTCTGAAAAGCCCGTTGATTGGCTTTGTCCTGAGGGTTGTAAAGCAGGAGGCAGTTTTCTGAAAGGGAGTGATTTATTCCGTGAAAAGTGGGCCCATTGCTGCACTGTTTGTGTTAGTCAAAGAGCGAGAGGTGGCCTGGGAATGGAATCACAGAGGAAGATTAGCTACTGCCAGAGAGGATGCTTGAAAAAGAGAGAGGGGCTCAAGTACTGTGGCCAAATGTCTGGATAATTGGCTTTTAAAGGAAGGTTTATTTTGGCTCACAGTTCCATCAGTGGTCACTTGGGCATTGTATTTGGGTTTATGCCATGGCAGCGTATCATGGCAGGGGCACGTTATAGAAAGAGTAAACTGAGTAAAGAGGGGCTAGGGTCCTGATAGCCCTTCAAAGGCATGGCACCAGTGACCTAACTTAGTCCCACAAGGCGCTACTTCTTAAAGATTCTACCATCTCCCAATAATGCCATGGACTGGAAAACAAACATTCAACACATCCCATTTCCGAGGACATTTGAGATCCAAACAGTAGTGCTGAGTATGGTGGTACAGGTCTGTAATCCCAGTACTAAAGAGGTTGAAGCAGGAAGATTGATGCTTCAAGGTCAGAATAATCAGCTGCATGGTAGCATCTTCTTTTGATAAAAAGAAACGATAACAATATCATCATCCACAACAACAACACTCCAAACCGAGGAAGATGGAACAAATACTTTGCTTTCTCTTTCAGAATGGAAATTTTTGTATTTCATTTTTTTTTAATTTTTTCTTTGTATCTAATATGGAATATTATATTGATTATAGTTTTCTATATGTACTGAGAACTATTCCCAACACCTCTGGCTAAATTATCCATCATTCACTCAATAAGCTATATTGTTACATCCATAAGATCATGTCCTCAGAAAGATGAGTGTATTTTTCTCTGAACATTTCCATTCATTATCTCTGTTGGTGGATGAACACCATTATTTTAATGACATGTTTAAAAAAAAACATTTTGATTCTGTCTCTAATAAGGATAGTAAAATATTCATTGATTTTTGTATTCTTTCACATTATTCTAATTATATTTGGGCATTTATTTTCCAAACTTAGTTACAGAGTTGATTTCATAAGTGTACTAGGTTAGATTTTTAGACTTTAAAGCTTTCAGAGTCTCTTAAATTGAATAACTCATTTTTGTTTATTTTTATCACTGTATTTACTGAAACAGATTTGAAATGGTTTGAAGAGGCTTGAGTTAAAAAAAAAAATCTCGTCCAAGTTTTAAATCTTGCTAAGGATAGCTGTACACCTAAGCTTTAGCAAATGAAATTTAGAAGTTGGCAAAGATGATTTTGCCCTTTTTACTTATTTTTTTTAATATGCTGATAGCATTGACTTAATGGGGATAGATAGCATTAAGGGAAGATTTGTGTTAATTAATTTGGCATGAGGGCTGTCAAGATGGCTCAGCAGATCAAGGCACATGCCACCAAGCTTGGCATTACGACTCCTGGGATCTACGTGGTAGAAGGAGAAAATCCACCCCTGCAAATTGTTCTCTGACTTCCACATGTGCCATATAGCATGCAACCCCAACATGCAAGATACATAAAAACGCATTCATCCTTTTACTGGTACAGCTACATTTAGATTTATACTATGTCAAATGGAAAGTGGTTATCTATGGGAATTTATGGTACAGTTGCTCAGAAGCTTTGCATATTTAATTCATTTGTAGCTGTGGTTTCTTCAAGTTCTTGCTGGTGAGTTTTGCTGATGTTATCAAAGGCTTTTGGTTATCTGCAATGGATTCAGGTGTGACTTTCTGAAATCCTAGTCACTGACTCTTGGCTCCTCTTTGCCTTGTTTGGATAGGCTGCCCTGCAAGTCGGGGGCCACGGAGAAAGGCTGCACCAGTGTCGGGAAGTGATGCTTCTGACTTACAAGTCCATCCCCATGCAAGTAGATGGGGAACCGTGTAGGTTGGCACCCGCCATGATTCGGATCTCCTTGAGGAATCAGGCCAACATGGTACAGAAGAGCAAGCGGAGAACCTCCATGCCTTTGCTCAATGAGTGAGTCTTGGCTTGCCTTCCTGGGTGACATGGAGACACTGGAAAGCAGATGGCAGAGCATGTGCATGGTCTGGGGACCTCACTGTGTTGGAAAGGGGAGAAAAATCAAGAAAGCACCATAGGCCCTAGATTGTTCTCATGGGAACACGTGCAACCAGTTTTACCTTTTATTTGATGGTTATTTGTCCTTCTTTGGGGTAAATTTTGTTGTATGTGAGATAGATGACTCTCCTTCATTGACCTCTTAGGTATCTGTTGTGTTCAGATGAGCTGGTTTTAATTTTTAGTTTGGTTTAGAGAGGTCTGTCACTAGCCCCTTTTTATGTTGTATTTCTTTCTGCCTGTCAATGAGTGGTCCCTTTCCCCACCTTTCCTTTTGGGGTCCCATGTCCTCTGATGCTTCAACTCAGTTTTGACTTCCAAGGCAGCAACTACTGTCCATACTTAAGTCAACTCACTACGTCTACTTTAAACACCTGGTATCCCTTCCTCTCTACACTTTTTCTTTTTTTTAGGTGTTTTGATAAACTGATTCAAGGTAAGACAAAAAAGAATAGGTAACATAGAACATATGTTCTTTTTCTAGTGTACTTTACTCAAATTGGTGACTTAATTGTCTGCTTGGGATTGGAGAGGTAGCTGGAGAGAGGAGGATTTGGGTCATCTTTTTGAGTATCTTCTAGATATCATGCCATCATGCCTAAGGTCATTTCAGGGCTTAGTCTTGGGTCATTCTCTGTCACAGTGAGGGGCCTCAAAGGTACACCTCCTGTTTGCTGTCTGTGTTGCATGGTTACCTATTGTACTGAATGGCTAGCTTCCTGGCGGTGCCTGCAAGGCAGGGGCATGCTTTGCCATGTGTTCATGAAGTCAAGGTGAGAATCTGCACAAGTTCCCAGAATAGCTGATGACGCAGGTGCCACAGCTCCTGTCACCTCTCTCTGTGGCAGCATATGCTCAGGAAGAGCACCAGACAGCGCTCTCCAGGCACTTCAGCTTTTGGCATCCGCTTCTCAGTTGGAGGCTGGCGTGAGAAGTCCTCTTCCTCTGTTCTTGGGGTCTGGACTTCCTGGAACATTGTCCTGGTTGTTTCCTACAGCTTCCATTTATTCCATTTCCCCTGAGTCGATAGTTCTTGCTTTATTTACATTTTGCAGCTGGCAAAACTCTTGGCATATTGCTGATGCTTTCTGTCCTTGCTGCCTTCTCCTTCTTCTAGGTTGAAGACATAATTGTTGAGTTTGTATTGTTAAAAAAGACGAGACGTCAGCAGTTGTATGTGGTTCTCCTTATGTCTTCTAGAAATGCTAGTCAAACCATGACACAGCAGTTCGGCAGAAACCTAAGAACTAATGAATGGGAAGTTTTCTCTGAATTTGTACAGTGTCCGAGGTGCCTAGGTCACCTGTAGATCATCTATAAAAAGGATAGACTAAAGCTCAGTGAGTTTGCTATTGCTGAAGTGAAGGGTACGATCTCATGACCTTCTTAGGCATAAAACTGTTTTTAGGTGTTCAGTTTCAAACAACTTTTACGCTTCTGTCAACAAAGAATTTGTCTTCTCTAGGTAATCCTGTTGATTAGAGTTCCTTTGGGTTTGTTTATATGCAAAATAAATACACATAATTTTTTGTTTTGTCCTCATAGCATGTGTGATATATGGTATTTCTTGCACAGCCTCGTCTAAAAAAATACTGACACTTCCTACCTGGGGTAGTGTTCCCATTAAAACAGCCCATGTCACACAGGAGACCCATGGGCAATGGGAGTCAGAGCACACTATTCAGTTTTCAAAAAAGAATTAAAATTTGGTGAATAAGAAATATTTTAATCACTATCTATAAAATTATTTCACTATATTTTAAAGAAATCAGTACTAATAATACTTTTTCAAAGAAAAAGGAATAAACCTGGTTATCTGCTCATACTTGTTCACTAAACCTGGCTTTCCCTCTCTTTAATCTTTTTTCATCTTTATAGTTAATTTCTACTTCATTATAAAACATTTCTTTAGTTCCCTCTCTCTTTCTCTTTTTAGATCTAATTTTTTCCTCTGTATTTCCAAGTAGAGTTTTGAGTTTAAAGTCAACCTGGAATTGAAGACTTTTTCTTTCTGGGCCTTTGAACTTCTCTCTATCTTGTTCACCATTGTATAATGGAAGAGCTATTTAAAAAAAACACGTTACTCTTTTACTTCTCTGCCTCCCTTTCTTTCTGCCTACTTTATTTCTCTTTCCTTCCTTGCTTCTTTTCCTTCCTTCCTTTTTCCCTCTTTTTCTTGCTTTCTTTTTTTATAAACTAAAAACCGTTTCATTTGCTTAATTTGCTTACATATTTTTTCTTACTAGAAGAGGCAGACAACTAGTTTACAGTCTCATAAAGTTTGTATCTCAACGGCATGTGTGTGTGTGCATGTGTATGCATATGTGTGTGCATGCAAGTGTGTGTGTGCATGTGTGTGTGCATGTGTGTGTGTGTGCGTGCATGTGTGTGTGTATGCATATGTGTGTACATGCAAGTGTATGTGTGTGTGTGTATGTGTGTGTGCATGTGTGTGTGTGTATGCGTGTGTGTATGCATGCGTGTGTATACATATGTGTGTATGCATGCACATGTGTGTGTATGCACGTGTGTGTGTATGCATGTATGTATGTATGCACGCGCACGCGCGTGCGTGTGTGTATGCATGTGTGCGTGTGTGTGTGTGCATGTGTGTGTATGTGTGTGCATGCAAGTGTGTGTGTGCGTGTGTGTGTATGCATATGTGTGTATATGTGTGTGTGTGCATGTGTATGCATATGTGTGTGCATGCAAGTGTGTGTGTATGCGTGTGTGTGTGTGTGTGTGTGTGTGTGTGTGTGTGTGTGTGTGTGTATTATTCCCAATGAAAGGATGGTAGCTGCTTGGTTCATCTAAGGAACTGAGTTCCTTTCACTCTTGTTATCTGGGAAGACTTGCTATTTTAATAATGTAGTTCCTGGAATACTTGTCTCTTCTTCCTTGAATGCTGGTGTGTCTCACACATCCGCTGTTTCTTTGGGATGTTGAATCTTAGATCTGTGATTTCAGCCTTGACTCTTTTCCAAAACTGAAGACTTTTCCTCAAACACTGCAGTTGACAGTGCTGTCCTTAGTGAGGTTTTGTGGCAATCTTAGATTGCACACTGAGAACCAGACTCTTTACTCTGCTCCCTGTGCGTTTCCTCCTTGTCATCCACATGAGTCTGTTCCTCACCCATGTGCTCATTCATCATATCTCTGGCCCCTGGAGCCATCTCACTCACCTCCACTCTTCTCCACTTAGCAGGCTAGCTGGCACGTTCCTTGAAACCCATGCTCAGTTCATCACTCACATATTTAATACACACCATCTCTTCTGTTCTCTAGGAAACTGCTAATGTGTTCTCACTACAGATTCATTCCCCAGCTCACTCTGCTGCCCCTCTTCAGAAAGACAGTTGTTCCTCTACATCAATTAGAATGGTCTTCCTAAAAGTGGAAAGCTCACGTCCCTTATCTTCACAAATGTTTTTGGTCTTTGCCATCTTCATCCTGTTCTCCTTTGTCGTGGGAAACTGTTGCCTTTCTTGATCACTCTTTTGCCCCTGGTTTTTCTTCTAACAGTGGCTTCCCTTGCTCCTTTTATCTGCCAGTCTGGCTCACAGTGCAAAATCCACCTTGTGTACTGCTTCCACCAAGAACCATCCCCTAGCTAATTTTAGCAGTTGGTTGTACCTCTTGGTGCTGGTTCCATCACATCATCTGTCAACATAGTGCTTCCATCACCTGCTGGATTCTCTCTGCTCTGCTCTGTGGGGAGGCTCTAGATTTCTCCTTTCAGGATTTCTGGTACCTGTCAGCATCTCTGAGACATGGTCACATATTGAATCAATGACTCACAAGTGGACCCCACTATACTTCTATTTCTGTGACATTTCTTAGAAACTATTAATAAAATAACATCAATCTAAAATCTCATGAATATAGAGGTAATATAAAATATGTTCTGAAGATGTTCTCTTACAAGTGTAGGAGAGATATTGGATCATTTAGATATGGTTACATGGATAATTGGAAGGAGCCTCCATGAAAGACAGCTAAATAGTAGGCCTTCATGATGCCATTCAGTCCATATTTATTATGAAAGGAAAAATATTTTCTAGAAGATAATGCCAATTTTATTAGTATATTCAAAATAAAATGTGTTCACTAACTCCATATTGTCAAGGGAATATACTTCATTTTATTATAACATATGAATCTACAAAGATTATGGAGTGTAGTAAATATTTTCTCCACAAAATGTCAGATATTTTATCTAGTTTTTTTTTAACTAATATCCTAGCAATATGATAGCCAGATACATTTCACTATGTTCTGTATTATGAAGCACCATTGAAAGAGGTCAGAAGCTTAAAATAACTGGTGTGCAAGGGAGGTCTTCAGCTGTTACCCTTAACTTCACTAGCAACTGTGAAAGACAAGTCATTTTGTACACAGGCAAGAGTTCTAGTTAGCTACCTTTGGATTCGTTAACTGGGTTCCACCATCCTTGGCTACTGAGGCATATTATCGGTTTTAACAGAGAGTCGTTGAAGACAATGTGGATAGAACACTGAAACTTATAGGTGACCTTCTGTGAGAATGTATGTACCCAGCAGACGAAGGATCTTGGAAGCTGTTGCTTAGCACTTAGAGAAATTTAAATGAGAGAGGAAAAGAGGGTGACAGTGCAGAAGTGAGAGTGAGTTTGGGGGTTCCTCTTGTTACATTCTGCAATGTCTATTTTCTAATAGCTTTTGTGGACTCTCTCCACCACAAATGAACAAAGGAAGGGGAGATACTTACGGTTTTATGTTTATGGTTTCACTTTTGTACATAGAATATGAGTGAAACTAAGGCACCCGAGGGATGAAAATGGAATTTTAACAAACTATTGCTAGAGTTTTCAGAAAGCCTTTTCTGTTTAGCTGAATGAAACTCAAGGTAGTTGAGTCCCTATTTTCAAAATGGCTCTCTGATGGCTCTCAAAGGCCAGGTTCAAGGATGAAATTGGCTCAACTCCTCAAGTGGAAGTCAGTGGTGCTGGTTTCCCACTCTGATGTGGAAGCCTGTACCTCTGCCCTTCAGCTGTCTTGAATGTTCTGGAGCAAAGGTGCCGTTGACGATGCGTCCTGTGCCCACAGCCCACCCTCCCGCCTTGGCCCTGTGCTCCAGTCTGTGGCTTGCCTGGAACTTGCTGCTTCCATGTGTCCTGTTGGCTTCACTGCTATCACCGGCTTCTCTGGATTATTTCCTGTGGCTGGCCTGATTTCCTTTTTTTATTTTATTTTATTTTTTCTTTCATCGCTGTTGGTGATGCGCTCATTTAATTTCTGTTTAAACTTTGTATGTCTCTCTTTTTCTCCCCGGCTTGTTCCTTGTTTGTCCACGCTGTCCTGCTGACCCTGTCTTCGCTGCTCATTCCCTGCTGCCTCTAGCATCCATCAGGTGCAAGCTGCGGACCTGCGGCGAGTGTCTGCTCCCCCCGGCTCCTTTACCATGTGAGTACAGTGCCATTCTGTTTTGACACTCTTTCCCAACTTCTCCTCCTCGGGGGTAGATCACCTGAGGCATCCTTTTCCTCCACAGGTCTGCTGCTCAGAGAAGGGGGACCACCTAGTCATAGATGCTTTCATAACCCTCTTTTTTTCAATGTGAAATGGAGCAGTAGAGCTCTTTGTGCTTTGTATGTCCCCAGCACTCTGTATTTACACCTTCATCTTTCTATGAAACACTTCAGGGCCCGGGGTTGTGTGGGTCGGTGTAACAGTCTATGCTAAGCATCGTTATTTTTCAAAGTGGGATAGGACTGTTGGACCATAGCATTACAGATATATTTGAGGAAGTGCTTATGGCCCTAACATTGTATGTGGAGCTTATTTTTGTGCCAAAGAACCACAGCTGTTATACAGTAACCAGTGACACTGAGCTGTCACTGAGTTAGCTGAAATTTATTATTATGCATATTTGGAGGTTTATGCTCAATGTACTCCAGGGTATTTTCATTTTCTGGTGAAATTAAATAAACAAAATAGAAATATTAGTTTTAGGATTTTACTTTAGCATTTTTTGGTGCTAAACAGTGATTGTCTTTCTTTCTTTGCCCCATATAATATTTGTCACCTACTGTTTATTATGCTTCAAGTACTCTGCTAGGTGCTTTGCATCTGTTAAGAAATTTATTCTCCAGGTGATACTATGTGTATGTAATAGCACTCTCAATTCTGTGTGCATGTCCAAGGTCACATACTAACAAGCCGTAGACCAAGACTCAAACTCAGACAACTAAGCTTCCAAACTCATGTTGCATTCCACCTTGCTGGAGTCTGTGTGTTTCTCAAGACCCAGTGGAGTGATTGCATCCTCAAAGAATTCTTCCTTAATTCCTGTTATTGGAGTCTGTCATCCCTCACTGGATTTCACTGGTGATGAATCTGTTAATAGTTTCTAAAGTTTAATTTGGTTTGCATTGTCTGAAGTCTCTATGTGATTGGCAATATATCCCTATGAGTCTTTGTGTTCCAGACTTACCCACAGACCCTGTCAGAGCATTGCAAAACCAAGCCACAGTTGATGGGGTCAATGAGTAGGAAAATACATGTGTATGAGGAACTGTGTAGAATCTGAAATCTACTGGTGCTACAAAGTACTTCCAAAAGCTTAGTTACTCGACCTTGTTTTCATCTTATAGATTCCCATTTATTAGAACTATGTATTAACTGAAGAATGTTTCTTTTTTCCCTGGCTGAGTTCCAGGTACTGTTTTATGCTGCAGATCTAGTTAGTGACCGGCACAACCACTTAGTACCCATGTGGAGCACGAGGCTTATAATCAAACAATCAAAACCCAATAGAGTGATGGTATTTCATTTCCAATTTGCTGATGCTTGCAGGGTAAAATTCTCCACTCTGTAGGCTCCTCAGTAAACTTGTCTTGAAAAAACTGGCTGTCAGTCTTCTGATCCTGCTCTTAGCAGCTCCACTGACAGAGATCAAAGTCATGAGAATGTCAGCAACAGAAGTGGGTTGTGAGAGTGGTTGAATTTCTATCCCTAGCATGGTTGTTTCAACACTGTAGCCGTGAATCTTAAGTGGGGCTGTTCATTTTGTACTCTAGGGGCGGGTTGCAACAGTAAGATAAATGGTACTCATTTCTATAGGTACAGCAGAGAATAGGTGTGGCTACTTTAAAACTATAGCATTAATATGAAGATATTTTGTCTGTGTCATATTATTACAGCATACAGATATTACAGCTTTGAATAACAGATGGGAGTGTTTGTGTAATAACACTTAGGACAGCTTGGTGGCATATAGGAACCAGGTGGTGGTACAGTCTCTCAAATAGAGCAAGGACATGGAGAGAAGCCCAGGCCCAGCAATTCATTTTGTGCCTTTCCATCACGAATGGGCGGTGGCTTAGCCTCCTCTACCCATGCTGTGTGAGAAGCCTAGACATTCTCAGCTTGCTAACGGTGCTTTGCTCCTGTGACAGTCCAGACCTGGCATCCTGAACTGAGATAGCTTGGTTTTCTGTTTCTCTCAGAACCTGTTTTAAATAGATGCTCTTGGAATCTTTGGAGGGGCCCCTCTGCTGCTCCTAAAGCTCCTTGAAATGATCTGAAGTACCCTTTTTCTGGAAAGCATCCTTTTCTCTAGTTTTCTGGTGACTTTTTTTTTATAATGTGGTGATAAGAAGGTAAGACATAGATTGTTAGGAGTCATGACATACAACTCAAATCCAAACACATACAAAATTTCAACTCTATAGAAATACTTTAAAGGTTTATTTTTATTTATTTTAAAATTATGTGTGGGGGTATGTGCACATGAATTCGGGTGCCAATGGAGTTCAGAAATGGATAACTGGATCCCCTGAAGCTGGAGTTCCAGGTGGTTATAAGCAACCCTGATGTGGGTCCTGGGAATGGAACCCCTCCCTTCTCCAAAAGCAGTTCATGTTCTCAACCGTGGAGCCATCTCTCCAGCACCTAGCATTATGCAGTATTTTGATCCTGTGTAGCCACATATGAATTGATGGATTTTAAACAAAAGTGTTTAATGCTCCATTCACTAAATAAGACAATGCTAAGCTGAGAATATTTATACACACACCTTCTACAATGTACAATGAAGCCTAAAGAGTTAATAAGCTCTATGTGATAAGTGTCCTCAAAGGGAAGTAGTCACTGGAGGGCACATGCGCAAGCTTCACTTCTTAAATTGTGAATAATAGCGTTAAATCCTTCAGCCACCCACTCCAATTCAGCATCTGATAAAAAGAACATGAAACCTCGAAGTGAGGCTTTCTAGAGTTCTTTCCCCCTTTCGTAGCCGCTTTTCCCCGGGTTCCATTTCCTCCTTGCTCTTCCAGCATAAAAACAAAATAATGTGATCCGTTTACATTTGACTCATCGTTTTCATCTTTCAACACTATTTACTTCAGACACCAGATACGCTGGGCTATTAAAGATGTTGAGATCGCCGGGCGGTGGTGGCGCACGCCTTTAATCCCAGCACTCGGGAGGCAGAGCCAGGTGGATCTCTGTGAGTTCGAGGCCAGCCTGGGCTACCAAGTGAGTTCCAGGAGAGGCACAAAGCTACACAAAGAAACCCTGTCTCGAAAAACCAAAAAAAAAAAAAAAAAAAAAAAAAAAAAAGATGTTGAGATCAAAAAGCTAAGTTCTGCCCTGGGGAAATGAACATGCCAGCCACAGACCTGATTGAGCTGACTAGAGTGCAGTTACAACACAACACGACAGCAGGAGAGAGATCTGAAGTGCATGTCTGGGTTGGCAACTTCTTACCGAGTGTTTGTCACGGCTGATTTTGTTTTCTAAATATGTGCAATTAATAGGCAGCAACATTGTTTCTTCTGGCATCGTCTCATGAGTTTTAAAGCAAGTGTAAATTCATATAACCATCACCCTCACCAGGACACAGATAGTGTGTCACTAATTTTCCTCCACAGTTCTGCCCTGTCATTCACCCCATTGTCATCGGTTACTCTCATCACCCAACATCTGACAGCCCCTGGCCACCACAGATTTGTGGCTTTGAGATTTCCACAAATAGAGAGTCAAGTAATATGTAACACACTTCAGCTGAATATAACATCTTTGATATTTATTCAAGTTGTCATCTGGATCAGTCATCGGTTGGTTTTTATTTTTGAGCTGCCTTCCACTCTGTGGCTGTTTCCATTCACCCACTGAAAGATACCTGGGTTATTGCCAGTTTGAAATGATTGTTAAGAATGCTCAAACCATTAAGGAGTAGATTTTATATAAAATTTTTTTTCATTACTTTAGGTTAAATGTCTGGAAATGAGGTAGTTGGATCCACATGGCAAGTAGATTTACTTTCCTTAATAGGAGAGCAAAGAGAAAATGGTTTTCAGAGTGGTTTTGCCATTTTGTCTCTCTACCAGTGACGTATGATAGTTCTCATCATGCCCTATTGCATCTGGTATTCTGCTGATGGTTGCACCATCAGCTGTAACTATTAATCTCTGTGGTGGGAGTATGGTTTTGTTACATGATAGTTTCGTTTGTGTTCCCAAGTGGATAACCATACTGAACATCTTTCCACATTCTTACTTGTCATTTACTTATTCTCTTTGCAAATGTTCAAATCAAGTGGTGGTTATTTGGTTGGTTGGTTTCTGAGTGGGTCTCATATATCCCAGGCTGGCCTCCAACTCATTATATAGCCTAGGATGACCTTGAAATCCTAGTGTTCCTGCCTCTGCACCTTGAGGGGTGGGATTATAGTTGACTACCACCTGACAGGGTGTATTTGATGCTGGGAACTGAACCCAGGGTTTTGTGTTTGTTAAAGCAAGTATTCTATTAACTTAGCCATGTCTGTAGCCCTTTGATTGCTTTTTAATTGGTCATTTAATTTCTGTCTGTTGAATTTACTTTGGTTCTTATTGTAGATCCCAGGCCTTTAAAATATTCTCTCTGTATATGCCTCTTGTGTTTTCAATATTCTGATAATCCTTTGGACAACAAAGTACAGCAAAAAGTTTTAATGATGATTAGGTGATCAGTTATTTTTAAAACAATATTTTTATTTATTCTTTGAAATTTTTATCCATGTCATCAATGTATCTTGATCATATCTGCCACTGACTCCTCTCCTCCTCTTCTAGGTTTTCCTAACACCTCTCCCTCCAATACTACATGTACTACTTTTTCCTCCCTCTCTCCCTCCATCCATCTGTCCGTCCATCCCTCCCTCCCTTCTTCCCCCCTTCCCTTCCTCTTCCTTCCTTCTTTCCTTCTTTCTCTCTCTCTCTCTCTTTCTTTCTTTCTTTCTTTCTTTCTTTCATCTATATAGCCCACTGAGTCTAATTAGTGCTGCCCATATATTCATGGGTATAGGATCACCCACTGGGACATGGACAACCTACCAGCAGCCATACCCCCAAGGAAAAATGCCTGTCTCTTCACCAGTAACCACTAACTGCCAATAGCTCTTCAGCTAGGAGTAGGGC